AACTGAACAAAGTAAAGACCATGTCCATCCTGGGACTTCCTCAGAGTTCCCACAGTGTGGGTGATGTCACAGCTCTGCTGCTTCGTCCTCCTGACGGCTCCTATCTCCTTAATATGGGGCCCGCCTTTTCACCCCAATGCTATCTCCGTTTCCAACAGGACCCAGCTTGAGACTGAGTCGAAGGAGTTGACCATTTCAGAGAGGAACTGGCCTTCTGAAGTGGAACTCAGACCTAGGTCAGTCCTACCGCACAGCCTGGCCTCTCTCACGGGTTCATAGACAGCCACACTGCAAGGAGGAATATGGCCTGCTGGCCCTTGTACCCCGCTCTGCATGCTCCGTAACCATGTGATGCCTGTGACCTGTGGGCAAAGGCAAGATCCTCGCACTGTAAACGATAGTGAGGAGAAGGACTGACACGCGACCCCATGGCTGGATCCAGCAACCGCGTGCCGGATGCTGATGTCTCTGGATCCAGCAACCGCGTGCCGGATGCTGATGTCTCTGGATCCAGCAACCGCGTGCCGGATGCTGATGTCTCTGGATCCAGCAACCGCGTGCCGGATGCTGACGTCTCTGGATCCAGCAACCGCGTGCCGGATTCAGTTGTCTCTGGACCCAGCAACAGCATGCCGGATGCTGATGTTTCTGCAAAAGAGAGAGCCAAGGTGAGGAAGGAAAGTTCCGTTGCCCGCAGCCCCAGTCCCAAGGCCAGGGTGGAGGCATTTGGCATTTGGACCACACAAAGGCCACCATCCTCCTCCAAGGATTGAGTTTCTCAGCGTCTTTCTCTGAAAGTGCCAAGCATTTTCAGAGCGATTAGCTCATTGCCCTTCTCGCTTTACCAACATCTGGGCATAGTCTCCCCACGAATCAGGGGCTGCTCTGGGTGCCCAGGAGGCAGAGAAGGCCAGGGTTGGCTTAAAGCCCAGGATTCTTAAATTCTCCTGACTAAAGGCCAACTTTAGTCAGAAGGAAACCAAGACCAGGAAGTTCACCACAGCAGGTCAGAAAGGCCCTCGGCTTTCTCCCCTGTGCCCCACAGCTGGGCTCGCTCTTGTGAAATCCAAACTAAAGAGCCCTAGCTGAGTCCTAGAGTGGTGAGAGACATGGAGTCTAAGTCATACTTCCAAGGAGGGGTGTGACTCAGCTTTCAGGTGCTTGAAACCAGGTAGGTTTCCTATTTGCTTTCTGCTTAGCCTCCATGTTATTACTAATCTGGTTTGTACCGTCTTAATAGACCGGTTAGAACCTCTGCCCCCCCCCTGGTCTAAAGCTCTATGATGAGAAACATGAAGAAACATGAGTATCCATGATGGGCTTCCCTCTCCCATCAGTATCATGGTGTCCATAAGGAGGGCCAAACCCAATGTTGTCCATACACATAAAATTGGAAGATATATCCCAATGGACAGAGTGATCGTCTAGTTATACAAGGATCTGGGCTTAATTACCAGCACCACAATTTATCCATTAATCTCTTCAGTAATTTTTCTAATCCAGGTGGTAATACTGAAATCTCAGTATTTGGGAGGTAGAAGTAGTGGGATTGTGAATCCTAAACTAGCCTGGGCTACTTAGACTCCCGTCTCAACTTAAAATTAGTTAATTTAAACTTTCTGTTTTATAAAGATAACACATGCTTATTATGGAGCTAATGCAAATATTTAAGAGAAGATGAACATCATTAGCTGGGCAGTGGTAGTGGATGCCTCCAATCCCAACACTCGGGAGGCAGAGGCAGGCATTGGGACTATAAGTTTGTGCCCAGCACTTGAGGGACAGGCAGGAGGATCTCTGTGCATTGGAGGTCAGTTTGGTCCACATAGTGAGTTCCAGGACAACAAAAGCTGCATAGTGAGGCCCTGTCTTAAACAAACAAAGAAGAATATGATAAATTAAAAGCCTATGTAAGGCCTGGGCATGTGGCACATGCTTTTAATCCCAGCGTTGGAGAGGCAGCAGCACACCTGGCTAAACTTAGCATATTCTTGACATAATTTGTATCCATACTTTAACAACTAACTTTAACCCTAACTGTGTCTGTTGTTACAAGCATCTCGTCACTTTTTTTTCCCTTTTGAGACCTGTGGCCTATGACACCCCACCCTCCTGCTCCAGCTTCCTGAGAGCTGGGGTGTGTGCCACCACATCTAGTGCCCTCACACATGTTTAAAGACCACGTCATATGTCACCGAATGCCACCATCTGCATCCTGTGTCTGTATAACTTGTTTAACTGAGTCGGACACTTGGGTTGTTTACAGTCGTCTCTGCCACAAATCACCTACAGATGACAGTTTTTGTACCCACAGCCCCTTCTGTCTTTAGGCTCAATCCTGGTGAGCTTCGTTCTACAGGTTATAGCAGGAAGTTGACATGAATTGGCTTACTACAGAATATAACATGTTTTCTTGGACATCTAGGGGGTCGATTAAGTCTTCTAATGCTGACAGCCTAAAGGCAGAGGCACAGCCAGGAGCAGGAAGGGATAATTACTACTTCGCACGGGGTTTGAGAAACAGGTGGAGTCCCCCGAGACTCCTTCCTGGGTGAACTTCCAGCCATAATGCATGACCAAGTACCAGGTATCTCAGCTGAATACCTTGGCCTTGAGTCTTGGTCGAGTGAATTTTCTAGAGAAAATGATGCAAAAATAATTTGAAGAATAAAAGAGGGAGCGAGGAGTGGTTGAGTCAGCCAGGCTTTTGGAGCAGGAGCGGTGGAAGCTGTTCTACAACTGGGGAGTGAGGCCTGCTCTTTCCCCACCCTGGGAGAGGGACTGGCTGAACCCAGAGGCCAAGGAGGCAGAGGGAACAAAGTCGGGGAGTCCCAGCAAGTTCTCTGACCCACACTGTGAACAGTGGAAGCAGAGCGTAAACAGAGGTGAGCCTGGCAACCCAGCAGCCAGTAGCAGCCCGACCCCACGTCCCAGACACCAAGCCTGGAGTAGGGACTGATGAAAGGGACAAGAAGAGGACCTTGAGGAGAGGCCTCTGGGTCTGTGGCTTCGATCTGTGCTGTGCGTTGTGCATGGGTAAGACTCAGTAAAGGCAGGCCGGAAGATGGCTGTACAGACACGGGTAGCATATTCGGCAGCCCCAAGTCGCTCAAAGCTATTCTCTCGCAGTTAAGAGAACATGATGTCTAAAATCAGGGCATTGCAGGACCATGCTCCAAGGGTTCTGGCAGGGACTATTCCTTGCCTTCTCCTAGCTTTTGGGGTGCCAAGCCCCACTTGACGCTCTTGAACTTAACTCCTCTATTATCTTTCTTCATTGTCATATGTCACATGACCATTCCCCCTCCCCTGTTCATCTCCTCTTTTCTAAAGCTACCTTGTCACTGGACAAGGGCTCACCTAATATAGTATGACTCAGTCTGACTTACCCAGTGACAGCTTCAAAGACATTTCCGAATAAATCCACAGTCTGAGGTTCCAGTTGACATTCTGGGGGGTCCAGTACAAAGCCCTTATAGTAAACATGGGGAAGAGTAAATGTTTGGGTCATTACATGGGCGTTCCGGGGTAAATAAAGCATTTGCCTGGTACAGTCACTGCCCTAGCTGATGGGTGAGCTTCTGGAACAGCAGGCCAGCAAGCGGTCCATTTCATCCTGGCCTGGTCCTGGGAACCAAGGAGTCACAAGCCAGGCTGGGTAACCAAGAGAAACAGCTGGTTAATTCCTAACCTGGCACCCACACACTACCCAAGGGGCCTGAGGAGAAGTGGTAGACGCAGAAAGGCCAGAGCCTGGTGGTGCTGGCCATCCCCATCCCCTCTGGCTTCAGCTGTCTTCTCTCAAAGGTGGACTAGCTGACAGTTAGATACCAGTTTCACATGTTCTAGCTTCCTCTAGAACTCCAAGAGACTAAGGGTGAAAGAGGGCACGGGGACAGGAGGACAGTGGGTTTAAGAATAAGTTAGCCCCACCCCAGCCTCAAGCTTTCCACTGCCAGGTGTGTCAGTCAACTTCCCATGTGCCCACGCTGATCCCCAGAAGACCTAGATATAGGGGAGAAGGGGGGAGACGAGGGGAAGGGAGAAGAAGGGAGGGAAGGAGAAGGGAGAACAGGGGAGGAGAGGAGAGGAAAGAGGAGAGGAGAGGAGAGGAGAGGAGAGGAGAGGAGAGGGGAGGAGAGGGGAACGGAGGAGAATGGGAGAAGAAAGGAGGGGAGAAGAGAGAAAGAGAAGAGAGGGGAGAAGAGGGGAAGAAGGGGAGAGGGGAGAAGGGAGGAGAAGGGAGGGAAGGTGAAGGGAGGAGACGGGAGGGGAGGAGAGGGGAGAAGATAGGAGGAGAGGAGAAGGGAGGGGAGGAGAAGGGAGAAGAGAGGAAGAGAAGAGAGGAGAGGAGAAGAGAGGAGAGAGGAGAGGGGAAGGGAGGAGAAGGGGGAGAAGAGGGGAAGGGAAGAAGCAAGGGGAGGAGATGTTGCTTTTCTTGGGGGCTGGAGAAATGGCTCCATGGTTCAGAACATTTATGATTCTTTCAGAGGACCTGAATTCACTTCCCAGTTCATGTCAGGTGGCTCACAACTGCTTGTAACTCCAGCTGCAGAGACTCTGATCCTTGTACTGGCCCTTGCTTGCACAGACACACATACATGCATACACATAATTCAAAATAAAAGCAAATCGTAACGAAATTGAGTACCCCCAAAAGCACTTGGAGCATCCTCCTTTCCGGTCTTCCTTCCTACCCACAAGCCCTGGGAGATGGAGGGAGAGAGGATAACAATGAAAACCCATATCCTATGTGACAGCAATAATGAAAGTGGTTTCCTTGATATAGGATAAACCGCCCAGGTCCAGGGGAGCCTCTGGCCTGCTTTTCTCTGAGAGTGGCCACTGCTGCACCCTGTAAGGCAGAGCGGGTACTGGGAGAGTAAGGGCTCTGGTGTCATTCTGGGCAAGTGACTTCCTAGATGGGCCTTGGTCTCCACAGCAGGGCTATAGTAACCACCCCGGCTAGCCTAGGACAGAGTTGATCCTCAGTGCATGATTGTGGGATCCATGTGTGCCCTCCAAGGACAGCAGACATGGAAGATTGTCACTGAGCAAGAGTGGTGGTAAGCACCTGTAATCTCAGTGCTTAGAGGCTGAGACAGAACCATCAAGAGAGCGCTAAGGCCAGCCCAGCTACATAAATAGTCTCGGAGACTGTCTTAGAGATTGAGAAATCGGGAGCTAGGGAACAAAGAGACAATACAACCAAACTACTGAAAATGTAACCTTATTAGAACAAGAAGATGGATTTGAAAGGACATTTTTATCAAGGGTTGATGTTTTTCAAGGGTTTGTGGGGTTTTGTTTGTTTGTTTGTTTTGAGTGGTGCAAT